TATATATACATATATCAACCGCAAGAGCAGAAGGAAAAAAGGTAGAAGTATTGAGGTTTGAGAAAGACCCAAAGCGTAGTATTTCGAGAACTTCCTTCATGTATAGTTACATTGACTATAAATGACAAGATAATAGGTCTTATTTCCTTAGAGCGAATGTAGTCTTTTCAATGTATTACTTTTCATTTTGTACACACGAGTGTTATTACAAACAAAATAAAGCTATAGATAGCACTGGTCGTACATGGGGCTTAACATTACCAAACAACAATTGCCATTATACATGGATTAAAATTATACAGGTTTATTTCAACATTATTTCAACATATTAAGATTCTTACCGATACATAAAAAACAGAAACTCTTTATGTGCCATAACACAAAACCTCCAAGATGCCATCAGGTTTTTACCACAACCGCAGAGAGTGTCCAGTTATTTTCACTCAAATGTCCTATGTCACAATAGTGATCCAAATGAATTGATGCTTAATGGTTCAAAGGTGAATTTAACCATATTGGTTTCTTTCTTGTAATCTCATTGGATTAGCAACCAGAAGCAGAAGTGCCCTAGACCTCTTATTTCAGATATATAGGTATGAGGCTCAAGGAACTGTAATGCATGGGCACAGGAAGTACGCTTTTATTGTTCCAAACAAATTCAAGACAAAAGGCAAAATTAAAGTGTTAAATGTTTACTGTACAATATCAAAACTTCACTTTATACGTTCAGGTACATTTTAATGTATGAGAAGGCTTGCTTCTATGTATAGTTTGCAAATATACAGTATTTGTACATGAGAACAGTCATATTTGCTCATTACATATGTTGGATCTGCTTCCTATTTTGTAGTACACTATGGATCTGTTTAACTGCCCCCTTATTAAAAACCCAAATCTATAAGTCGGCCAACTCACTGAAAACAGAAGCACTGCTTGTACTGAATCGCTAAGAGCTCTAATGGCTGATCTACAATTCTCACAACAATAGCATGATATTGGAAGCATAATAAAATAGGCCATATTTACTTATAGGGAATATATAGTCTTTTTATGTAAAATGTGAAAGTTACATCAACAGGGTAGGCTTAGGGTAAACATTGCAATACTATCTCAAAATATGTGCGAACTAAAACATACATGACTTCCCTTTAAGATTATAATAAGCTAGGTGGATGGATGAAGAATGTGATTGGATGCTATGGGCAACATCAACCCTTCTTTTTGGGCACGCTCACATAATGGTATAATTATTATTAGATAATTATTAGATTGTAAGCCCTGACTGGCAGGGCCCTCCTTGCCATCTTGTCTTGAATTGTATTGTAATTGTAATGTCTTCCTTATATTGTAAAAGCGCTGCGCAAACTGTTGGCGCTATATAAATCCTGGATAATAATAATAATAAATTGATAACATAAAACTTATAGATAAAATTAGTCATAATATAACTTAACTAGCATTGTAACGGAGAACCTACATGAGCTAAAACAAAATCATATAAAAAAAATAGACAATACATAAAACAATAGGAATTCGACTCCTGACAAAATGGTGCCATCTTTTGCCATGTCTTGTTACGGCAACTGTTAAGCAAAATGCAATGCCCTCCCAATAGGTGTTCTGGGCATGCCTACGTCACATAGTGTCCTGTAGACTTATGTTCCTGGCACCTGAAGGTCCTGAAGCTGGATGATTATGTCATCCAGACTTTAAAAAGATTTTGGACTGGAACAAGGTAAGCAAAAAAAAAAGAGGAGTGGAGGAGGGTAGGCAAACATTTAAAAAAAAAATAGAAGTCCTACTTTAAGTAGAACCTTTTTCTGTAAAAAAAACACGAATCCTCTACAAAAAAAATAAAATTATTTTACAGTGATTCCTAAATCATAAAAAATCTGTATTCAGCTACTCTAGATTTTGAATTTAATAAGGAATGTGAAAGGATATTAGAGACACTTTCATGGCCCTCTGCCAGCTCTTACACATGATGGCTATGCAAGTATTGCTAAAAGAAATATGACATGTGAGGAATAGAACAGAGGGGGGTCTAGCTTGGCTTTAACCACACTGCCTACGCTTTGCTTTCATGCAGTGGATCGCATTAAGCCATGTTCCTCCAAACTGTCACTTCCCTCATCAGCTACTGACACATCCACATTAAGGGCAACACCATCCCCTGTCTATGGAGCCATCACCTTCACATGTTCAAACACTTCACAATTAACATCATTATGTTTAACTGCATCAGCTACAGCTGACTTGTGTTGTGAACTCTGCAGCAGGATACCATGCATATTTATACTGTCCCTTTTCTCAGGCCTTAGGTTAACAAGCATTTTAACTCATTAAAATAATAATATTAATAATAAAGTGTCTTTATAGTGAGAGTATTGTCATTAGCGGAACTCTAGTTGAGTACAAAATTAGACCTAGACCAATTTTATATGCTCTCTTTAGGCTAAATGAGTGACGCTTTACAAAGGAATAAGGATCTTTATTTTTAACAATGTGACTGTAATATTTAAATCTCATTTGGCACAGCTGAAACTAGCTGCTACTTTTTTTTAAAATGAGGATCCTTATCCTGGTGTTTCAGCTTTGTGAACTGTGAACTAATATTTTAAAGTGGGGTTAAAGGAGAACTATGGGGTTAAGTCTTTTCCCCATAGTTCTCCTTAGGGTAACGGGAGGACACAAACTAGCATCCTCCCGTCACCCTAGGCTCAGTATACCGCGAGCTGCAGCTAGCGGTATACTGAGACGCCGCAGTACACCGCGAGCAGCTGCTCGCGGTATACAGAGACGCCGCAGCTGAAGCGAATCCCGACAATTGTGCTGGGATCCGCCCAGCTGCGTGACTGACACTGTACCCGCCCCCTCCCCCGTCCGTTCCGCCAGTCAGCGCTGGCGGATCGGAGCGGGGAATCCAGCCCCTCCCCTGTCACGGCAGAGAGCCGTGACAGGATCGAGAGGTGAGCGAACGCCGGTATGTGTTCGCTCACCTCCCGATCTACTGAGCCGACCTGTGACAGTCTCATTGTCACAGGTCGGCTAGAACTATGAGGTGAGTGAAAAGCACTCACCTCATAGTTCTCCTTTAATGCAGGAATTTCTGCTAAAAGGAGAGCAGGAGACCATTCACTCTCTGCCCATTTCCTGATGAAATTATATACAAGGTTATTCACAAAAGGGTGAAGAGTTTGGAGAAGGCAGGAGAAGTGAACAATCTAGGCCAAAATAACTGATTTGGAAAGGGAACTGAATTGGAGAATATTTCCAAATCTGCTATTTTGGCCTAAAGTGTTCACTTCTCCTGCCTTCTCCAAACTCTTCACCCTTTTGTGAATAACCCTGATTGAGTTAATAAGCCTTCTCATGGTTTCATATTTTTAGTTTATGAAGAACACAGAGTTCTGGCATATATCAGGGAGTGGCTCATTAACCACATGTAAAATGAGTTTCAGACTTTGATGCAAAAAATATGTTCTTAAAGTGACACTAAACTCAGGAGTTAAATCCTAAAAATGCATTCAAGTACCTCAACTATTAACAACAATGTATCTTATTTTTGTATCACTCATCTGTAGATCCTCAAATCATCTCTGAACTGGTGCTGACACTGTCCTTCCTTCTGGAGGGGGGCTACTTTTGTTCCCCATGGTCCCTGTGTGTGTTGTAAAGTAGTCACAGCTCCAATCTCGCTCCCGTGATGGACTACAATCTCAACACAAAATATTAAAGTAAACATGAGATTGTAGTCCATCACGGGAGCAAGCTTGGAGCGGTGGCTACTGTACAACACACACAGGGACTATGGAGAACAAAAGTAGCCACCCTCCAGAAGGAAGGACAGTGTCAGCACCAATTTAGAGATGATTTGAGGATCTGCAGCTGAGCGATGCACAAAATACTCACATTTTGTTTATAGTTAAGGTACGTTGGTGTATTTTTAAGAATTAACTCCTGAGTTCAATATCACTTTAAGCTTCAAGCAAAGTTGAACTTCAGAGAAACATGTAAACACACTGTTGAAATAGCTTCCCAATGATCTGTAATTCTGCTCAGTTAGTGATCCAGACAGCAAATGGAGCTCTGGGTTTATTTACACATGTTTGCCATGCTAGGCTAAACTGCATCATTGAAAGAAAACTCTATTGTTTACACATCTCAATTACATTATGCACAGCTCAATGATCAGAGGAGTGACCCATCCCACTCTCTTCACTCCCATGAGAGAGAAGGAGAGAGAGAGAGAGAGAGAGAGAGAGAGAGAGAGAGAGAGATACTGAAAGGAAACAGCTACTGTATGAGTGTGCAAATGTCTTAGGCCAATTTTTCTAAGATGGTTATTTTATATCTTCTTGATTAGTGTGTCATTTTGAATGTCTTGAAGAGGAAATATAATTGGACATGGAACAGAAGAGGTAGCAAATCTTCCATCATAGCAAATGTAAGCATAGCAACAAGAGGTCATCTTGCATCATTAAAGTGACATTAAACCCTCAGATTTTTTAACATAAAACAATACTGTAATGTGTGCCTTACTGTAA